ATAGCTGGCTCTCAAATTCTGTGATCAAAGGCAGCTCAGAGAGCCCACAGAGGGACTGTCTAGAGAGAGCCCTGGGGACTGCCCTCAAACCTTCTCTATCATTTTCTTTAAATGAGTGGGCTCTGAAACCTTGAGAAAATGTATTCCAAATCATACCATTTTAAAGGCCGTCACACACACACACACACACACACACACACACACAGAATTTGTGAAACTCTCTGAAAAACAACTCTAATTCCACCTCAATTATTGCCTATTTCAGGCAAATGTGTTCTAAATCTGAAATATTTTTTGTAATTGCTCCATTTCTTCTATATCCATTAACTGCTGGAAGCCAGACAGCCCTACCTCAAATCTCCTGATGTTTTTCTGAAACTCCTTGGGAGCTTTAAGCCCACGTGTTTCTGTTCCAGGTGCTTCAGGGTGGAAGTCCATAGAGTCAGCCTTGTCATTGGACGGGGGAGGGCTGATGGCAAAGTGGCCTCGGCATACCATTCATTCATTCGCTACTCACACAACAAGCTTGGCTGGCTTGTTGTGCATGTCTGTGTCCCACGTCCGCCCACATTCCCTCGTTAGGACGCTCCGAAAGGGCAGGGCTTCGTCTCTTTTGTTCCCTGCATCCCTGGTGCCAGGCACACACAGCACTCTGTAAACGGATTCACTCCCGGAGGCAGATGTGACAATCACCCTCATCTTACAGATGAGGAAGCGGCGGGACCGGGAGCTCTGGTAACTTGCCCAGGATCACGCAGCTGGCAAAGGGTACAGCCAGAATCGCACCTCGTCGGTCTGACTTGTTTGTTGGGGGAAATTGAGACCCATGGGATGTGGTCAGAAGATGCTGTTATAAAAACTGGCTGAAGACTGCCTGGGTGCATCAGGCAGAAGCAGGGGTTCCAGGCTGCTCTCTCAGTCCTAGCCATGTGGCTTTGGGCATACGAGCCAGGAGTGACTATTAAACCTCCTGGGGCTGGGCTGAGGGCCAGGAACCTCCCTGCATGAGTCAGTGGCAGTCTGGGAGGTCAGGACACATGAGAGAAGGTGGTGGGGAGGGGAGGGAAGCTGCCACAAACCCAGTTCTGGCAATCCAAGCCAGCTGCTTGGGGTGGGGGGACAATGGCGTGGTGGGCACAGGGTGGTACGTGTCTTTAGGTAGGAGGCCCAGGACAATGCGCCTGTGGGGTATATTAGCCATCCAGGTGGGGGATGGGAGCATGGTCCAGAAATGTGGCCTGAAAGTCACCCTAGCTGTGACTGTGACAACAGGAAGGGCTTGAATACCTCCATGGCAGGATGGGCCCCCTAAGAGGGAGGCAGGCCTGGATGATTCCAAGTCACCTGCATCATTTCAGCTTTCATTCCTGCTCCTAGCATTGGTACCTGAGACTCCTCCCAGGTAAACGGCAGTGTTTACCGAGGGCTATAAACAA